ACTAAAAACCAAAATGTAAAAAACTCATTGGACATGATTTTAACATGGCTGAAGAGGGAATTAATACATTAGAAGATCAAAGAGCCTTCTCTTTAAAACGGATTAGAACGAAATACCTATCAAGTAAATACTAGGATTTCTATCTCACACTAATATTTTTTTGAGACAGAGTCTCATTCTGTTGCCAGGGCTAGGAGTGATCATCCCGACTGGTGACGAATGAGGAAAAGATGGGGAGGGCAACCGATCTCTCATTTTTCACATACAAGAGTTTCACACTCTTCCACTTCTGAAATGAAGAATATCATCTGTATATACTTTGTTTCTTTTTTTTTGAGACACAGTCTCACTTTGTTGCCCAGGCTAGAGTGAGTGCCGTGGCCTAGCTCCACAGCAACCTCAAACTCCTGGTCTCAAGCGATCCTCCTGCCTCAGCCTCCCAAGTCGCTGGGACTACAAGTATCACCAGCTAATTTTTTCTGTATATTTTTAGTTGTCCAGCTAATTTATTTCTATTTTTTTTTTAATAGAGACAGGGTCTCGTTCTTGCTCAGCCTGGTCTTCCCCGCCCCCAGGCTGATCTTGAACCACGATCCTCCCACCGTGGCCTCCCAGAGTGCTAGGACCACCTCGCCTGGCCTACTTTGTTTCTTTTAAGTGAACAATCAATTGACCTGCCTGTAATACTGTACCTCCGGCAATTTTTCTGAAAGTCCTTTTGTGACAGCAACAATGTTTTCAATGATGTGCTCAATCTGCATTGCAGTGTGACCAATGCGTATAGCGCTGAAATTTAATATAGTATTATATTAAAATATTTTTTTTAAATGAAGTTTTCAAAATAGAGCATACGCAGGTTATGTGAGAAACATAAATACATAATCCTAGTTTTTTAAAGGGACAAACATAAAAATCTTCAGGTTCTAAATGCATTTTATTTTTTTGAGACAGTCTCGCTTTGTTGCCCAGGCTAGAGTGAGTGCCCTGGCGTCAGCCTAGCTCACAGCAACCTCAATCTCCTGGGCTCAAGCAATCCTCCTGCCTCAGTCTCCCGAGTAGCTGGGACTACAGGCATGCGCCACCATGCCCAGCTAATTTTTTGTATATATATTTTTAGTTGGTCAATTAATTTCTTTTTATTTATAGTAGAGACAGGTTCTCGCTCAGGCTGCTTTCAAACTCCTGACCTCGAGCAATCCGCCCGCCTCAGCCTCCCAGAGTGCTAGGATTACAGGCGTGAGCCACCACGCCCGGCCTCTAAATGCATTTTAAAGGAAGATTATGATCTTCTATGTTCTAGAAATTCCTTCTACTGGAAATAAAATGCCATACTATGAATAGCTGGCACCTAACCATGTAAGGCCAGGAGGGTCGCCGGGCAGGGCCAGAGGAGGTTTGACCTTCCTCCTAGAAAATCCCCACATTGCTGAGTGTGCCCGGACCTCAAGCTGTTCTTTGGGCAATGACCTCTAGGAGGGTCACCTGCTCCCTCTATAGTTCCATTGCCCACCCCCCCCCTTCAAAAATGAATCAAAGACTGGTATCTGCCCACTCTGTTACAACTTACCTGCAAGCACACATGTGGTTTCCCAGATGGAAAGATAGTGAGAAGAAAGTGGAAGGGAGAAGTGAAGGAGGTGGGGGAGGAAGAGAGAGAATGAGGGGAAGTGGGGAAGGGGAAGAAGAAGAAAAAAAATCTATTATGTTAGGGAAAGGTGAGAGAGGAAAGAATGATTTCAGGTTTTTCTCCTCCGTTGCCTGCAACTTTCTTTAAGCTGTGGGCAGGAGACTGCCTTCTCCCAGCTACTCACTGACTCCATGAACCAGGCCTTGGAGCTTCTAGCTAACCATTCCATGAGGCACTGCTTTCACATCAGCCCATAACCAAAGATGGGCCCAAGCACAACCACCACCTCTTCTCAGCTATTCATCACATCCAACTAAGTGGCTTCCCACCTGCAGGCAGAAGGCAACAGCAGAGTCCACCTGCCTTGTACAACCATACCCTGCCCTACTCTAACTGGAGATGCTCTGTTGAGGACTGTCGTTCCTGGTGAGCAGAGTTGAGGGATCTCGTGGTTATGTTTTCTGCTGTGTGTGACCACTTGGGCACTTACACACGAGCTCCTGGGGTATGAGGTATCTCTGGGTGGAAGGGCAGTACCCTACAGCTCTGCCCTGATGGCACTACCTAACCCCACACAGACACTCCAGTCAGTGGATGAATTATTTTATAAAATGTATTTCAACTATGTTTAAAATTTGCCCTATCGCCCCAAGCTGGTATACTAACAAGCATTCAAACTTAAACCTACCTCTTGGCCTAATAAAACAGCCCAAGAAGCACTATCCTAAAAGGTCTTTTCTGTTATTTAAGACTAGAGATTCAATCAATATAAAAACACAACGGCACTAGTCAGGCTGATGAACACTGAATTCATTTAATAAGAATTAAACCAAGACTGGCCAGGCATGGCGGCTCACACCTGTAATCCTAGCACTCTGGGAGGCTGAGGCAGGAGGACTGCTTGAACTCAGGAGTTCGACAAGACCAGCCTAAGAAAGAGTGAGACCCCCTCTCTACTAAAAATAGAAAAAAATTAGCCAGGCATTGCAGTGCATGCTTGTAGTCCCTTTTACTCAGGAGGCTGAGGCAGTAGGATCACCTGAGCCCAGGAGTTTGAGGTCGCAGTGAGCTACAATGATGCCACTATACTCTACCTGGTGCAACAGAGTAAGACTGTGTCGTCCCCCCATCCCGAAAAAAAAGAAAAGAATTAAACCAAGACTGAGGTGGATCTTCACTTTAAAGATATGGTGCCTTTAAAGGATAATCTATAAACCCAGTACTACTAATGTTCCCCAAGCATTCATTACTCTTACTCTTTGCTTTCCTTAGTATCTGGAGCTGCCCTAAAACAGCCCTAAATCAGCCACTACCCATATGTGCCTATTTATACTAATTATTATTATTTTTTGACATAGAGTCTTACTCTGTTGCCCAGGCTAGAGTGCCGTGGCGTCAGCCTAGCTCACAGCAACCTCAAAACTCCTTGGCTCAAGCAATCCTCCTGCCTCGGTCTCCTGAGTACCCGGGGACACCATGCTCGGCCATTTATATATATATATTTTACTGGCCAATTAATTTTTTTCTATTTATAGCAGAGACGGGTCTTACTCTTGGTCAGGCTGGTCTGGAACTCCTGACCTCGAGCAATCCGCCCGCCTCGGCCTCCCAGAGTGCTAGAATTACAGGCATGAGCCACCGCGACTGACCTAAACTAATTAAAATTATAAAATTAAAAATTCAGTTCCTCAGACACAGTAGCCACATTTCAAGTACTCAACAGCCAAAGATAACTATGCCTAATGAATGAGATGACTCAGATATGGACTATTTCCATCACAGTATTAATAGAAAGTTCTACTGGACAGCACTGTTATGGAGAATGGAACACTGCTAAGGAATGGATTTTAGTTTTAACAGAATGATTTGGTTTCATTTACACCATCTTTTAAAAAAGTTTATAAAGTCATTATTAAATACACCATTAAAAGAGGCACACGTGAATTCCATTTACCTACCTGCAAGAACCACTTTTAGAGATGTTTAAGGTTGTTCCACCTATAGATTGACTGATCTCTTTTGATAAATTCTTGGTCAGAAGGTTTACAGATACTGGAACTCTATACAAAAAACACAGAGGCATTCAGAACACAACGCAAACACCTATAAATTTCATGATGCTGAAGTCCAGTCATCACTAAGAAACTTACTTCTTCCTACGATAAAAATGTTTCCCCATGAATGTGGGTAAAAGCCGCCTAATTCTGGCATCAGCAAGGAAGAGGTCAAAACTATTAAGAAGGCGGTGCTTTGCTTCATAGGATTTATATTCCTTTTTTAAAGTGTGGAAGGGGATAATCTAGGAAACACAACGAAAAAGAAAAACAAAAAGTTGAGAACCTGAACAAGGAGAAATACTAGGCAACAACTTGGATTAAAAAATGTCCCAGGGCCACACCCCTCATAGTTGAGCAAACATGTGAGTACCCAAAATGTACCAGGCATTACACTACATGCAGGGGACACTGAGACAAATGAGAAAGGGCCTCAATTAAATAAATTTAGATCCAGGAATAATAAAAACAAGTACATCAACAACTATAAAACAGGGTGAGTCAGAGAGAGGCAAAAAATGAGTTATCTTTTTTCTGTAAGATATAAAAGTTATTGATATAGACATTTAGATTATAGGCCAACAAACCGCAACTGCTGCGCCATCACAGGCAACATGGAATATACCCTACCTAAAGCCACCAAGAATCAAATTAGGAGAAAAATAGAAGTACCAGGAAATATAGCAATGCAATTATTATTACTTCAATTGAATTAAATCTTCTAAGTAAACAGTCCCCAACCTTTTTTTTTTTTGAGACAGAGTCTCACTTTGATGCCCAGGGTAGAGTGAGTGCCGTGGCGTCAGCCTAGCTCACAGCAACCTCAAACTCCTGGGTTCAAGCGATCCTTCTGTCTCAGCCTCAGGCATGCACCACCATGCCTGGCTAATTTTTTCTATATATATTAGTTGGCCAATTAATTTCTTTCTATTTATAGTAGAGACAGGGTCTCACTCTTGCTCAGGCTGGTTTCGAACTTCTGACCTCAAGCAATCCACCTGCCTCGGCCTCCCAGAGTGCTAGGATTACAGGCGTGAGCCACCGTGCCTGGCCAGTCCCCAACCTTTTTGACACCAGAAACTGGTTTCATGAAAGAGTTTTTCCATGGACGGGGCAGGTGGGGGTGATGCCACCCCAGATCATCAGGTGCTGGATTCTCACGGGAAGTGTGCAACCTGGATCCCTCACATGCAGTCTGCAGATGGGTATGCGCTCCTATGAGAGTCTGATGCTGCTGCTGCTGATCTGATGGGGGTGGGGTTTCAGGAATGATGCAAGCGATGGTGAATGGCTGTGGGTGCAGGTGGGGCTTGCTGCTCGCCTGCCCCCTACCGTGCAGCACTGTGCAGTTCAGTTCCTGGTGGGCCATGGATAGGTGCCGGTCCACTTCCTGGGGGTTGAACACAATTATAAATGACTTCAAAATATGAACCAGGCTTCCTACCTGAGATACAGTTTTAATGCCATGCTTATTCAAAAGCTTTCTATAGAAATGTTCTGTCTGTTCAGGAGTTTTCTTGGGTTCATCCTTGGTAAATAAACAGACTTCTTCTAAATCTGTTCGAATACTATAAGGCAAGGGCCTGCAAAATACATGGGAGGGAACAAAAGAGAAAAAAGCATTATTACAGAAATAAGTATGTTTACATTACAAAGAACACAAAACAAATTTAGTGTCATTTTAATAAACTTCATTCACACTATTTAAGAGAATACTGCACCAAGAACATTTAAAAATACATCTAGTTTTCAATTATCACAGAGAAGAGATTTAATTCAAGTAAATCACAAATACCACAGACTCAAATATCAACTAACACTTGAGGTATAAGAATCAAAACATAACCAAAGACATTCAAATTCTTGCATATGTAATTATTATTATATACGTTGTTATATGGGCACATGTACTCTAATGTGGTAGAATAACAGTTTCATTAGGACATTCTTGGTTCAGAACTTTACCTTCTGGTAAACTCTTAGCTCCACAAACAATGTAGCCCCTAAGAGTTGAAACAGGCCTGTAATCCTAGCACTCTGGGAGGCC